TAGACTTCACATAATTTATAGGTTACAAACATAATTTATCTTAGTTTACTTAAATGGATTCGTTTTTATACTTTTTTGTTTTCATAGATGTCAAATGTTTACATCTTATTTATGTATAATTATTATATAATTTTATAATTTAAATTTAAGTTGTCATTAGAAAGTAGACTTCATTACGAAGTCTACTATGTAGTAGACTTCACGAGTAGACTTTATATGGGGTAAAGAAGTATTTATGGCTATCATTTTCTTTTTGTTCAAAAGGGTGTGGTTTGTAATTTGACTATCTCAAAAGATCAGTTTTCACATAAGTGCATTAAAGAGTCTAGTTTTGCATTTTAAATCAAATTATGGTCTATATTTAGAACTTTTCCCATCATTCTAAAAGCATTAAATTATTTTAATAAATTAATAGGCTATTAGTTATATCATATTAGTTTCAAACAGTAAAATTATTTTACATACATGGACATGGACTTATGATAAGATAGAAATTTGATAAATTGACAATAGATCAATAACATTTAAGTAACTAGTAAAACAATAGAAACAATTACTATTTTTAAAAAATTAAGGTAGGAAAAGATTTAGGCTATACAATTTTTTTCTTCATTCTTTCTATTTTTGATTATTGACAAATACCTTGGTAACAGTTTTCTTCAACGTTTTCCCAACAATTAGTTTCAATTGAAGAAATAATTAGTTTTTTTACGATTAAAGCATGCTAAAGAATATTGATTTTGAAAGTTTTATCAATGATTTTATAAAACAAATAAGAAAATTACGTTTTAGAAATATAGTTTAGTTTGTTTAGAATGTAAAAGTCATACTTTTTATTATAGGTTTTTTTGTTACAAATGAAGACATTTTTGTTTTGTTCGCTTGTAGAAGTCGTTAAGGCTCACACCACTCTGTGTGGAGATGCAAATTCATTCACCGATGAATTTGGACTAAAATGGTCACCTGATCATATTATCTACGGAGAAATCACTACGATATCTTCTTCCCCTATATAACAAAACCTCAATACACCACTTCGAAGCATTTCTCCGCTGATTCAAGAAAATACTGCTACAACAATGCTATCGCCGATGTTGCCACGATTGAAAAGGCAGAACTTGTATTTCTTGCTTTTTTAATCTTACTCTCAGAGTAATTACAAACAAAAAATGATTTACATCAATTATTTTGTATATTTACATTAGTTATAACTGTTGCAAAATAATTTTACATCACTTATAAAAGTGACTTTAAAAGTGGTGATTCAAATTCTTTATATGGATGTAAAGAATAAGTGATGTTAATGTGTATTATTTGTAAAAAAATGATATCAAATTTTTCATGATAGACTTCATTCTGTAGTTAGACTTCATTTTTAAGCCTATTCATGATAATGAAGTCTAATTGTAAAAGTCAAAGCTTGGTCAATCGCAAAACTAGTCTTTTTTTTTCGGTAGACTTCACGTGTAGACTTCATAAAAAAATTGTCATTTGAAAAATTGCAAAACTAGTCTATTAGACTTCACAAGTAAGTATACTAAATAGACTTCATCGTGAAGTCTACTATTTAACTTTTTATTTGAAAACGCTTTTTTTGGTAAATATATAAGGAATTTCTAAGATTCTCTTGAAACATTAGTTGATTTAATCTGATTAGTTGCTTGGTGTGTTAGTTTGACATGCTTATTCGTTGTATAGCTCGTGAAAACGGTTTTCTTGTGAAATTTGAATATTAGACAATACTAGGTAGACTTCTAGGTGAAGTCTACCTAAAGTCTATCAATGAAGTCTAATGCGGTTGTTTTTGTTTACTTGCAGGAAATGGTTTACATTGCATCTGTTTATGGAGAATGGGTGATAAAGGACAATTTGTCTTGGCATTTTGAGGTTGATTATCGGAAAGGAGGTAGAATGTTCTCGTTGAGGGATGGATGTACACATGATGAGCTCATTCAAATGGCTTTAGAGGATTATTCGCTAACCAAGATCGGACACCGTTTGGAAATATCATATCCATTACCAGAAGTGTTCACTCAGCAAACGTGTAATGATTCTCCGCCCATGTTTGTCACAAACGACAGACAAGTCGAAAGCTTGATCGAGCTAAGTAGAAATCATGGTGTACGACTTTGTGTCTCTAGCAAAGGGAAGGATGAAGACAACGTAGATGGACCTTTGGATGAAGACTTAGATGAAAATCTGGATGATGAGTTGAAGGAAGAGTTCGATGAAGAGTTGGATGAAGATTGGAGCGCAGAACGAGAAGAAGTGTCTGAAGAGTCGGGTTGTGATGAGGATGATGTAAGGGAAAAAGCTTATGAAGGCGATGATGACACACACGCGGACTACAGTCAGTATGGGAAAATTAAAGATGAAGACGTTGTCATTGATGTTCCTTTCGATGATCCCCGCCTTTTAGGGCGTGGTGTGGGTCATCGTATAGGAATTGATAATTGGGAAGACAATATTTACGAGCACCAGAGCTTTGATACCAAGGCCCAACTTATCTCTGAGTTGCGTTTGACCGCGGTGATGACAAGATTCTCATTCAGGATAGCTGCGTCTACAAGAAAAGTGTTTGTGGCCAAATGCAAAGTCGCTGGATGCAAATGGAGGCTTAGAGCGGCCGTAAAGAACGAACCCTCCACGTTTTGGGTGACAAAGTACGTGAAGTCGCATACATGTTCTGTTTCTGATCGAGTACGTAACCATAAACGTTGTACAACGAAGTATATTGGAAAGCTTTTTCTTGATCGGACAGGGCTCATTGAAGGAATTGTGCCGCAACACATAAGAGACTCTATGAGGAGGATGTTTGGAATGAAGCTCGACTATACGGCTTCATATAGAGCTTTGAAACATGCCCAAGACTTGGTGTGGGGAACAGCTGAAGAAGGATACGCGAATCTGCCTTCTTACTTGCAAAGAATCAAGGATGCAAATCCGGGAACTGTGACTGACCTTGTCTGTGACTCACAGGACCGTTTTAAGTACTGCTTTCTATCACTCGCCGGTTCTATATCTGGTTTTCAGTATTTGAGGAGAGTGATTGTGGTTGATGGGACTCATCTTACTGGGAAATACGGAGGAGCTCTACTCGTGGCTGCCGGACAAGACGCCAACTTTCAAATATTCCCGCTAGCTTTCGCAGTGGTCGATGCTGAGGATAGTGAATCATGGGAATGGTTTTTCAACAAGCTTAGAGATTGTTTCAGGCAATTCCGCCAATGGCGATAGTCTCTGACCGTGCCGCTGCCATAGCTAGAGCCATTGGAATCGTTATGCCCTGGGCATCAAGAGGAATATGCTACTATCACCTCCAAGGTAATATAGTAAAGGACTTCCACGCAAAGGAGATAATGTATATGGTTAAAGGTGCAGCCTACGCCCATACGGTGCCTGAATACGACCGTTACATGGACCTCATAAGAGCTGCGAACCCTGCCCTAGCTACTTACTTAGAGACAGATCCGAAGTTATGGTCGAGAGTTCATTTTGAAGGTGATAGATACAATATAAAGACGAGCAACATCGCAGAATCTATTAACTCGGCTGTCAAGAAAGCAAAAGGATTACCTATTCCTCGTCTTTTGGAGTTTATTAGGGAGAAGCTCGGGAGATGGTTTAGCAAGAGGCGGGAGGATGCACTGAGTCTCACAACCAGACACAGCAGAGGTGTTGAGTACATATTGGCCATACGGTCTTACTATGCGGGAAGTATGATCGTAGATCGCATAGACGCTTGGCGCTTTCATGTTAAAGGCGGGAGACGAGATTGTAATGTCGACTTGGAGAATCGAACATGCTCGTGCGGTGTGTATAACGTTGAAAAAATCCCTTGCTCTCATGTTATTGCAGCTGCAGCCGAAGCTAACGTCGACATGTCCTATTACGTATGCGCCACTCATTCGACGCCTTCCTTGTTCTCAACATATGCACATCCGATTTACCCCAAAGAGGGAACTGACTCCCACGTGAAGCCTGTTCGCTGTTTGCCTCCAGGGGAGAGTGTCCCTTCTGGAAGGCCGAAGAAGTCGAGGTGGCAAACTTGGCTAGAGATGTCTAGGAAGAAAAACACAAAACCGAGGAAAACGCATAAGAAGTACAGCTGCTCTAAGTGCAAGGAACCTGGTCATACTCGCCCCAATTGTGTAAGTTTATAAAGCTGTCCCTTCATGCTTTGCATCCACATTGAGAGGAGCTGACATCTTTCATTTTCTGCACTACACAGGTCGCTGAAGACTGACTTGTGATTTTAGTTGTTCGTGAAGTCTGCCGACGAAGTCTATCTGAAGTCTATCTATGAAGTTTATTGTGAGTCTGGCCAATTTGTATGTTTGTGCGTGTTTTAGGTGGATGAAACGGAGAAAAACACTGGTTTTTAGTTTTCGTGAAGTCTGACAGAAGTCTATCTAGGAAGTCTATCTATGAAGTTTACTTTGCGGCCAATTTGTATGTTTTGTTCGTGTTTTAGGTGGATGAAACGGAGAAAAACACTGGTTTTTAGTTTTTCGTGAAGTCTGACAGAAGTCTACTAAGTCTATCTATTAAGTTTACTTTGCGGCCAATTTGTATGTTTTGTTCGTGTTTTAGGTGGATGAAACGGATAAAAACACTGGTTTTTAGTTTTTCGTGAAGTCTGACACAGAAGTCTATCTATTAAGTCTATCTATTAAGTTTACTTTGCGGCCAATTTGTATGTTTTGTTCGTGTTTTAGGTGGACGAAACGGAAAAAACACTGGTTTTTATTTTTCTTGAAGTCTCACAGTTAAGTCTATGTTGCAAGTCTATCTGTGAGGTTTACTTTGTGGCCAATTTGGAGGAAAGTATACGAAATTCAATAATAACAAAACAATAGACTTCTGAAATACAATAGACTTCTGAAATATACCAAGTGCACAATATACCAAAACAATAGACTTCTGAAATGTGAAGGCCGATCAGCGATAGATTACAAAAGAATAATTAGCCTACACCCATCATCGGGTTCTAAAGAGCATTAGTTTACGGGATTACACCTACACCTTTCATAATCTCTCGTCATACAAATCGACATTGTCCCAATCATCTGGGTCCTCGACCGGTCCACGGCAGTTGATCTCATGGTACATATCAGACGCAATCTGCTCCCTAAACATGGTGATGTTTTTCTGACACAACGTCTTCGGAAATGCGGCATATCCGACTGCCAGGCACTCGATGACTTGAGGACAAACACGCCACAATCTCCAGCCCCCACTTGCTGCGGCACATCCTTACTCGGACGGCTGTGCGTGTACTTCGCATCGAAGTAGACGCATTTGTCCTCAGCCTGAGCCGCGGAGTGCATAAGATTCGGCATCATCACCGCATAGGGTTCCACCAACAAGTCCATTTCCGCATCATCGAGCCAGTCCACCATACTGTCGTAGATGGTAATGTGCCTTTTGGGTATGGAGACATGCAGCGCGACCCAATGCTTATTTGATATTCAATGGAATGAATAAATCATCAACATCATAACCCCATCGCTTATTGCTGGGCTGGCTTTTCGGGAGATTACCAAAGTACCAGTCCAGCGAATTAGGAGGCAGCATTTGACATCTCTGAAACTGGGCCAGTCCCTTTCCCAAAATTGAGTGATATGGCTGTTAAGGAAGCAGATCCTATCATTTTTAAACAACTCTGGTCGCGTTGCTAGGCGGTGAGTCATCATGGTGGCCCAGGACTTCATATGCTGCAATGGAAACAAAGAATTCGACTATGAGGACTAAATATGAAGTCTATGTCATAAGTCTAACAGTGAAGTCTACTTGTGAAGTATATTTACGAAGTCTAACAAAGAACGTACGCTATCCGATAGCCATTGAAACCCCGTGAGTAAAGTAAACCACCAGTGCCATTCCGGGTAATCGAACTTGTCCGGCTCCAGCGCTGTAGCTGCAGAATAACCCCTGAAACATTGGTAAATTCTCGTAAGCCTCTATAATTTGGTCAAACAACGAAGAGACAAAAGAGTTTAGGGGCTCACGGTAATCCGGAGACGAATGCCCGCATTGGTGTTATCCTTTCCTCGAGAGGTCGAGCAAATGGATTATACCCTAGAGGTTCATTGCCACCGGTTGCTTTCTTAGGTTCAGGTGCTTTCTTCGGATTAGCTGCTTTCTTCGGAGGAGGTGATTTCTTGCTGCTTTCTTCGGAGGAGGTGATTTCTTCGGATCTGCTTTCTTCGGATTAGCTGCTTTCTTCGTAATAGCTGCTTTCCTCGGTTTAGAGATGATCTTAAGTGATTTCGGTGGGGAATTGGGTATCTCCGGGGGGTTGTTTAGGATGATCCTTCTAGCGGTGCTGTTTCCTTGGAACTCACCTTTCTGAGTAAACGCCAGCTTCCTTACTCTCTCACTTTTCCCTCTTGCCATAACATTAGCCGCCTTGATCTGCTCTTCCTGTTGCCTTTTCTCTTCGGCTTCCTCAGAATCAGTTGGAATATGTGTCCGGAGCCAAGTGCAATCCGTATCTTCCTGTTAACATTGCTCAAACACAAGAGAGATAGAGAGAGACAAAACAGATAATGAGTCACTAGAAATTTGAACTTTTATTTAAACAGGAGGGAAAGTGTACAACGCAACGCAACACACTACAAACAGAAACATACACACATCACTTGTTCTTTTTCACAGCGACCCTATGACTCCTACGCACATATCTCTTTTCAACTACTTTATCAGAGTTTTTAGATCTACGTGGAGAATGAACGGTACTAACCGTTCCACCAGGCGGAGCCGTCTTCCCTTCACCGGCATCGGACTTATCCGGCTCCTCATCGGACTTCTCCTCATTCTTCTTCTCCAGCTCCTCATTCTTCTTCTCCAGCTCTTCATTGGCCTTCGCAGAATCCTCATTGGACTTCGCAGTATCCTCACTGGACTTCACAGAATCCTGAGCCTGAGGATGCGAAAGCTTCTTGACAATCCTCCCTACCACAGCGACTTGAGCGGTGAGGACCTGAATCTTTTCCTGGGTCTTACTCATCTCCTCGAAGTGTTTTTTGGTGAAGTCTTTAAAAAGCTCCTCAATCTTCGCCTCAAGACCTTTCCAGCCAGCACCAGAGGCCTCCGCAGGTGAACCATCTGAGGTCCGAGCTCTTTTGACACTTATCGCTTCATCATCATCAGCCTCATCAGAGAGACTCCTCTTGCCATGAGACTTCTCTGACTTCACAGACTTCTCAAACTTCACCTTCTTAACCACCGATATCCCTTCTCTAACCCAGTCAGCTGGTTTCCACACCCATCCTCCACCAAATTCCCCAAGCAAGGCCTTGATGATGTTGTCCACCTTCTCGTCATCTATTTCCTTGTCCCAACGTGGGTACACGTCTGCCTTGTCCACCATTACCATGTGATTGAAAAGCACCTGCAAAACCGTTATCAGAAAAGTCAAGAATTTTTGGATATTATGATTAATATGCAGAGAGTACAAGGCAAATGAATTACCTGCTTCTTCATGGTTCCGATAACATATCTCTTCCCTCTGATTCCATTGAATGCTAGCAGCGGTGGCTCAGGATTATTTGGCCTCGGATCACCGTTTTCTTCTCCGAACCTCGGCATAGCATAGTACGCCCACACTTGCACGACTTCAGCAAAGCCTTCGAGGCTGAATGGCTTGGACACGTCTGCTTTCTTTATGGACTTGATGAGGGTCTTGAAAGCTACTCGCCCCCAGGGATAGTTTTCAAACTTCTCCAAGTCCATAACTTGACTAGCCAGTGCTACTCGTGTATGAGTGGAACTTTTGCGAGCATCAATGAAGCCAGCGTATACGGCCAAAAAACCAAGTCTCAGCCTATCCTCTCTGCTCCACTCTCCGGCCCACTGGCACGCTGCTAAGAGTTCGTCAACGCTCGGACCAAGCTTCTCATTCACACCAAGCTTCCGCCAGAAGTCTTTCATCTCGTCTGTGTTAACAGTCTCTGGCTTCGTCAGCGCTTCTTTATACTCGCAGTTAAGCCCGGTGATGTGTTCAAACTCGTTCAGAGAAAATCGCACTGGCTGTACACCCACGGCACTCCATATCTCATACTTCTTCTTGCATGCTACTTGCATAGTGAGCATAGTCTGTGCCACCTTCGATGCCCAATTAAACTCGAGCTTCGTGAACCTGAAGAGGGGTCCCAGCTTAGAATTCTCAAGCTCATCCCATTCATCTTCAAGTGTGGTGTGCATTTGAGACCACAGTGCAGTGTTCTTGCTATAGTAGACAACACTGCGATCATAATCCGGTTCTTCTCCTTCTGTGAACAACCTCCTAGGAAATGTCACGGCGTCCATACTGAAAACACATTGAAAATATGAGAAATTAGGAGGAGTCTACAATTTTACACGGCATAAATAAAGTCTAAATATGAAGTCTAACTATGATGTCTAACTATGATGTCTAATTATGATGTCTAACTATGATGTCTAACTATGATGTCTATCAATTCTAAAGGTGAAGTCTGTACTTTAAGTCTGCTCTACTCTAGCCAACCGCCGCTAAAGAGCGGCTAACTAAACCCTAACAATAGACTTTTACCTTATTCTTTGCGGTTATGAGGGCCAGCAACGGCGGCGGATACTACTAAGAAGCGCAACGACGGCGGATACTACTATCCGGCAACGGAGACCTGCCACAGATCTACAATCGATTAGTCCATGGTTTGAAGGGCGTAAGCAGAGAGAAAAAAAGTGAAAGGGAGATAACTAACCGGCGCTGAGAGGAAGAGAATAATTGGTGCGATTTAATAGGTCGTTCGATTCCACAGCGGCAACACGGACAACGGCAACACGGACAGCGGCAACCAACGGTGGCGGAAGGGTTCAAAAGAAGATTCCACTGTGAGTATAACGACAGTAGAGGGAAACAGACACAAATACGTATATCACTGATATATGAATATGACTTACAGAAGTATACTTCGGAGGAGGAAGGGGAAAAGGCGGCGGCGACGATAGTGGGTCTGTCTTTCTTCTTCGACGGCGACGGTGGGCGGAGAGAACATGCAATCGCCTATCCGACAAAGAGAGAGAACGGAACGGACTTGGGTTTGGAAAGTGAAATGTGAAAGTGAAACCCTGATTTTGGGTTTCTCACTTTCGATTAGGGCCGGCTAATTTTGGTTAAACCCAATTACAACAAAAATTATAATTTCCTTGACCGGTTCTGTTCAAAAACCGGAATTGATGTACAAAGTCTACTCGTGAAGTCTACAAATTGAACTTTTAATGAGAAATTTATTCGCCCAAAATATTTCGTTTCCCGCCCTAATAATTTCGTTTCCCACTCGTTTTTTGAATAAAAGACTTCATAGCAAAGTCTAACTATGAAGTCTACCGATGAAGTCTGACTTACCCTAAACCCTAAATCGAATTTTTGAGATCAAAGCTATAGAAAACATCAATTATGTATATAGAATCACAATTTACATTATAAACTATAAATTCATTAGCTTTAAATCGTTAAACAAACCACAAACAATTTTTTATGTCAAAATTCTCTAAACCCTAACAATCATACTCATAAACCCTATACATTGTACCTCAAACACTAAGCTTGATGATTGGTTTACTCATGAAACTTATAAACTGATTAATTTCCATGAAAATTTATTTTACATAGATAGGATTTGTCTTCATTTAGATTATTTATAATTTTTTTAAGCCTAAATATTTTTTATAGATTTTAAACTTTAAATTTAAGATTTTGTTATTTGGTAGACTTCTTCAGTAGACTTCACACAATATTTTTTGGATTATACCATAATTTGTATTACCGGTTTTAAATTGATCAATTTATATGCAAATTTATTTTTCATGGATAGTACTTGTCTTTGTTTAAATTATGTGTAAATACCTTCATCAAAATATTTTTAAAGATTTCAAACTTTAAATTTACGATTTTGCTATATATTAGACTTCGGGAGTAGACTTCACGCAGTTTATAGGTTACAAACATAATTTCTCTTACTTGAGTTAAATGGAGTCATTTTTATGCAAGTTTATTTTTCTTGGATGCCAAATGTTCTAATCTTTTATGTATAATTTTCTTTGATCAAAACAATTTCCTATAATTTTATAAATTAAATTTGAGTTGTATTTAGGAATTAGACTTCATGAAAGTCTAATACATGTAGACTTCATATAGACTTTAAACAGGGTAAAACAGACATTGTGCAGCGTTTTTTTCTTTGTTCATAAGGGCTTGGTTTGTAATTCTACATGCCCAGAAGACTAGTTTTGCTCTAAATGCAATATAGGGTCTACTTTTGCATTTCAAATCAAATTGTGAACTATAATTGGCAATTCGCCAATATTTTTCTGTTGATTTTTTCCATTCGGAAAAGAAGGGGTTTAAGGTGATCCAAGTCCTTTAACTCGACCATAATAATTAGTCTTTGTAGTTTATATTGACTAGAAAACATATATTTTATGTTGTCGCGATATAAAGTAAAAAACACGATTCCGATTTGTACCTTTTCGGATAGAAGTCATGGACATAATTGAGCAACGAACCAAGAACATGAGAGAATCCGTCCAATCTTTTTTGAAAAAAAAATACAATTAAAAGAAAATAACTGTGACTTAATGGGTCCCCCGTTTAACGAAAACCGATGGATGAGCGACACGTAAACGAAGAAAAAGTCCGGTTTTGGTGAACGAGAGAGGGTGACGTGTACGGTCGGAGATGTGTTAGTTGGGTGGCCGGAAGAGATGAGAGGAAAAAAGGTTCATTGCACTGACAAAGACAGCGCTTTAAATTCCGTAAATATCTTGTCTTTAAACTCTCTTTTTTATTTATTTTTTCTCCTCTCATATATTCCATGCAATATGTATTTAGTTGTCAACAGAACGTTATAAGAAAATTATCTAGCAAGTTCCATACATTTGGCGCCACTTGTGCTGTCTTCTTTGGACAATGTGTAATGACATGTTATTGTAAATGGAAAATGCGAAAGTGGGTTTTGGATGATGGGCAACAGACAAAATATCCAAGCCACCTCAAATTCAATGAACCAA